CTAATTCAAACCTTATTTTCGATTAGCGCAAAACTTAAAGGAAAACCTTTAATGCAATACTAGAAACCATCATTGTTCGTCTAGAGTTTGGCATATGTTTAGGGTGAATATGGAGTTGAGTACACAGATGTTGGACAGAACACTAAAAGCAAACAAATAGACATTTAAACGAAACAAATTAGACCTTTACAAATCTACCTATAAAACGTGATTGTTATCTGCTAATCGAGAAAATCAAAGTCGATTTGCCTTTAATGTTGCGTCTGAAAGAGGTTAAAACAAAGACTTTTGGCCAAGTTCAAACATGTTTCTTAATTACTAACATAAGCCAAGCAGGGAGAGGGGTGGGTTGGTTGGGTGTAAGCAGATTATGGCTCAGTTATGCCACGCCCCAATCTACAAAGTTTGATTGTACAATTCGAAGCCCTAAAACAGACGTGAACCAGATGGGCGTGGCATATGCGTATTATAAACAAATTGACTGAAATTGTGAGCTGCACATTAAACGAAATGATACGAACTAAACTGTTTGGACGAGGGGGGGGGGGGGGGGGGGGGGGGGTGGCTGCTTGGTTGAGGGAATTGCTGGGTCTGGCTATAAAATAAAGTCAGTCGAGCTAACTCAAGGCAAAAGTTTTTCAATAAAGCAACGCCGCGCCGTGGCCAGGACAAAATCTTTTAACTAGTTGTAACTCGATGAAGTGCAGCAGCAGCAGCGGCAGCAGCAGCAGCGGTTAGCCAAGGACAAATCTCTGGCATTGACAAGCCAGAGTTGAGAGGGGGGAAGAATAACTCAACACGACGAAATATGCATCGAAATTTACCAATTTACATGGCAAGTGGTCGACGGAGCTTGGCAGTGTCTATAAAAATATACCAAAAAAATATTACAAATTTGGCAGCACACACCGAGAGCGAGTGAGAGTGGGAAAGAGTGAGAGAGAGAGAGAGGGAGAGATGAAGGAGGGCATTAGGAGGGCGAGTGAAGTGAAGCAGCGCAAGCAGAATGACAGTTGTTCAAGTTTTTAAAGAGCCATCAAATTGAAACAACAACTTGAACAAGAAGTGTGTCTGTCCCGCTTCCGCTTCCGCTCACTGCAATTCACTCTCCCTTTCACTCTACCGCACAATGCAGCACCGCCCCGCACCGTCCGCATGCTGCCATAGCATCATTTTTGCGCAAAATGTTTTGAGAGACAGCATTTCGCTCTGTTTGTCCGTGCCTGTGTGCGTTGAGCGCAAGCAAACAACGCCGCTGCCGCTGCCGCTGCTAACGTCGCCGTCGCCGTCGCCGTCGCTGTCGGCAGCGACTGCACTTTGTCAAATATTTAAACGGCAGAAAAAGTTGCACTTTCTAATGCATAATTGTTTAGCTGCAGTCACTGGCAACTGGCAAACTTGCAACTTGAGCAGCGGCAGGCAGCAGTGGCAGTTGAGCTAAATAATATAGCATGTTTTTTGGTGCCGACCCAGCTGAAAGAATTGCTCATGATATTGTGCGTGCTATGCGCCATGTATTCGTAATAGGTTCTCAAAGAGAAAACAGGATATGCATTGCTTTATACAATTGCAGGCGAAGATTACAGCAAATTTTAGACATTTGACTGTGCGAAAATATTTTTCCGTACTACTTCAGCTTGTCTTTATTGCATTCAGTTAATTAAGTTTCTAATAAATATTATGCATAGAATCGTTCAAATAACAAAAACTTGTTTGCAATAAAGGGTATTTGGCCCAACGAATGGGATTTCCAAAATTGGCGAAAAAACGTTTTCATTAGTTCGTAATAAACAGCTTTTAAAATGAGTTTAAGCCCAATCGGCAGAAAATTGAAGCTTTTGAAATGAGAATTCAATATTCTACCAGCATTTATGAACTCTTAGCAAAGTTCGTAATCCGTTGCATTATATTCTTGCACATATCTTTAAAACCGTCTTTTAATCATTTTTCGTTCATTCATTTCACACATGCGAGTGGAATTAAGATCGAAAGAGTTAGGCCATTATGAAATTTCAGTTTCCTCAAATACTCTGTAAATCGGGGCAAACAGTTGGACTAATGTGCATATAACTTATATAATTGATTAATCAGCATTACTTTAAAGTGGATTTCATTTCCCGTTTATAAAGCAGAAACGCATGAATTAAGCAGCAAACATTTTGCAGACAGCTGATCCTTTGCATTACAAACTCAGAAAAAGTAATGGGCCAACTAAAGCGATTTCAGTTATTGCCCTACTTTGGGACTTATGAGCCAAAAGTTATTAACATGACAAAATTTTCTGCAGGGCTTTGCTAAACTGCACATATTTGTATACACACACACATGTATATCTGTATATATCTGTGCGTGTGTGTGTGTTCGTTCAGCATGTGTCCTTTAGCTGCCTTTATTTTCGCAATATTAAATTCATTAATATGCGAAATTGTCCCGCAGCAAATACAAACACAAATACCAAGAAGTAGGTGTGCGTTCGTGTCTGTGTGCGTGTGTGTATGTGTGTATGTCTGTTTGTGTGCGTGTGCTTGTATTTAGCCACAAGTCTGTTGCATAGAAGTGCTGCCCGAGCTGCTGATGAAGAGCTGGCACTTAACGGTACTTGTGTGCCTCAGCGCAACAGGAGAAGGCAAACAATTCTCAAGAATTTCCATGAATATGCAAGGCCTTCAAATAATGCACGCAATATTAATAATAATAATAGTTATTTTTATTATTAGTAACTGTGCCAATATTAAACATAAATAATGCATATTTATATTGTGCTTAATACACGCTCATTGCCTGATGTATCAACATACTTATGGAGTAGAAGAAGCGCTGACAAATAGTTGGGTCTTAAACAGCTATGTATCTCCCTTTAAGCTGAGCTTTTCATATTTAAAATTAATATACTTTAAATAATTATGGTGCAATCTGATGCAAAGAAGAACTTTAAGCAGTTGCCGATTAGCTCTAAGGCAGTTCAAACGCCTGACAACTAGACATTGTAAGCCGTTCAAGTCAATTAACCCAACAACAAGTTTTAAGTCCAATAAGAAGCTTTAATAATCAGATAAGATTCGCAGCAGCAAATGTTTGTAATTTAAATAATAACTAGCGAGGTTATATGAGCAGAAAGTATAACCCATGATATTATTATAAGTAGATACTACTAGAATATACTCTAGAATTATATAACATATTGTTGACAGCTATGCAAATCTTTAACAGGTTGAGAATTACAAGCGTCAAGAAACACATGAAATAAAACTAAATACAAATTAAAAATAATATTTGATGACATTTGCCATAGACCGTGGACTGTGTCCGAATAGTGAATAGCTAACAAAGAAAGCTTGTTAATTTCCATATTTAAACAAGAGGTTCTACTCGGGAGCTCCCGACTAGGGGATACCCTGAACCCTCTTTTTCCAACATCAAATGCATATATATATTCTATTTAGAAGCTATATGTCAAGTTTGGTGACTAGCTCTTATTATTTACCAAAATTGCCCCAAAAACAGGATATCGATTACCGATTGCTTGGAAACGGAGTAAGTTATCGATTATCAGAAACAAACTCGATCTGCGCGGGAACTAGGAGCACCTACATCTAAAATTTCAAGTCTCTAGCTCTTATAGGTTCTGAGATCCTTGCGTTCATACATACGGACGGACGGACAGGCAGACAGACGGACATGGCTAGATCGACTGGGCTATTGATGCTGATCAAGAATATATGTACTTTATGGGGTCGGAGATGCTTCCTTCTGCCTGTTACATACATTTGGCTTTCGCACAAATACAATATACCCTTATACCCATTTTTAATTGGTTCAGGGTATAAAAATATATACAAAATAGTAAGTGCAGATTATCAACTAGACATTAACTGTCAATTGTTTAATTGCCAGTTCACGTTGAGCTTCTAACGTTAGAGAAAGTGTGTGTGCAACTAACTAACCAACTAACTAACTAACTAGCTAACTATTAAATTAACTACTATAACAACAATTGAGACACTCATATGAATGTGGCTGATAATAATGTTGATAAATACGAGCGCATAATGAAGCATTAAAAATTCTCCATAAACACCAAACAAATTGCCACAGTTATGTTGCAGTTAAACCAGCTAAGGGGGGGCGGTGCGGTGTGGTGTGATGTGGTGTGCGGGGTGGTGTGCGGGGGCACTCGCTTGTCTGATGAATAAGTGAGTGCTGAGCGCGACTATTAAACGAGCATAAAAAATGAGTGCGATTTGAATGCTTCTCATGCAAGTCAAGTGCATTGTGCGTGCAGTATTTGATAAATACAAACAAAAAATAAATATAAATAAAATACTACAAAAATATATAAAGAATAACACGCATTGAACGTGTTTCTTTATGTTTAAACGAATTACATGTAACTTTTGTTTTTTGAGGTGCATTTTAATTCTTGCAGTGAGTTTATTTTTTTTTTTTATGCATTATTGATGCCCATACCAAAGCGAAATTCCTTGCGTTTATTGCCCGTGCCGTTGCCCATGCCCCTGTTGGGATATTTCGCGCTCATGCCCATGCCGGCATGCGAAGCTCTCACTCGCAATATGCGCGGCTGCGCCAAACGCTTCACGCGCGGCTGCAGCAAAGCTGCCGCTTCAGTTGTAGCTGCTTTTTTTTTTTTTTTTTTTTGTATTTGGGATTAGTTCGATGTAGTTATGAGAATATATATATATATATATATATATATATATATATATATATATATATATATATATATATATATATATATATATATATGTTAGGTTTCGTATGAGTAGACAGAGACAATGTATGACAGTTAAATGGGGAGTAACAGCGAGAGAGAGAGAGAGAAGGCACCGTTTTAGTATTAAAATGGTTCAGGCGCGCTCCAAAAATGTTAAGGGAGGGAAAGGGCGGGGGCGATTAGTTGGTTTGTATATAGGCTTACAGCCGGAATCAAATGAATGATTTGTTCGATTCCACATGGTTGAGTGGCAACGCACTTGACTTACTTTTCACACGCAGCCAGGTGTAGGCAGATTTCTCGCCCGCCTCATTGCTCGCCAGGCATTGGAACATGCCCTCATCCTCCAGCGTCAGTTTTTTAATTATCAACGTATTATCAGCTTTCAGCGTGTATCTGAAATATGATTAACATCTATTAGATGGAAGCACAAAAAATAAAAGGAACTCTCGTTGAGATTACGAGCTCTAGCTCTACGTTTAATATGCGTATGAAATAGCTTTGCTGGCATATTCAAACAATTTTTTTCTGTTCACAAAACTTCTTGTAAGCTATTCAGAATTCCAATTTAATATACTTTATTCAACAGTTTAAGCTCCTATATATTTCTAATATTTTAATGTTTAGCTAAAAGGTGTTGTAATAGTCTGAAGTACAGTTTTCATCGTTCCATGAATCAAACAGTTGAGTGCATTTGCCTGTGTTGCACAACACTTAACACTTCAAAACGACTTTATTCGTGCTGTTAAACGCTTCCATACGGTGTTGCTAAGCACTTTCTTCTGTTGATACGCTTAAAGTGCGCGTTAGAAAACGCATTCTAAAAAAGATTTGCAGTACTAAGTCTTGACAATACTAATTTCTAACTCGATTTGTATACCCTCTTTTTGCTAGGCACTAATAGATCAGGCACTAAAAGGCGACTTACAACACTTGACTCAACATTTCCTCTCTATATATGACATTAGTATACTCTTAGTATTTCCACTTACCCGCCAGTTTGTAACTGCACCTCGATGGGTTCAGCGTTGCGAAACCATTGAACCTGGGGCGTGGGATCTCCGACCACATCGCAGGGCAACATCACCTGACCGCCAAAATCGCCAAAAGTCTCGGCACGCATGGCCGTAAAAAACATGGGCGGCTCTATGATCTGAACACGGGCGGTAGCCGTAACCGTTTGATAGCCACCGCTGCGCAAATGCACCTGGCAGCTGTACTCGCCAGAATGCGAGCTATTGGCTTGCAGCAGGGCCAGGGTGCGGTTCCATGGATCGTTCAGGGTGTGCGATATGCCGGCATTCTCAACGGGCTGGCCATCCTTCAGCCAGATCGTTTCCAGTTCGTGCAGTGGTCGTGCATTGGCAATGCATTGCAGCTCGGCCACGCCCTCGCCGCGCTTCAGTTTGAGATCTTGCGGCGGCACGATTATCTCGGGCGCCACCTCCACATAGGGATCACCAGTGACATTCAGATGGACAAACGCACTCATCTCCTCCTTGCCCAGCTGTGTGTTCATGGCACGTGCACGATACGCCTTCCGATCGCTCTCATCGGCGCTCAAAACAATCAGCTGATTCGCCTGGGTGACGGCATATTTGATCTCATAGTTGAGTGGACCCTCCTCCGTTTGCCAAATGACAGATGGCTTCGGCACCGAATCAATCGCCGGCATATCAAATATGGCCGGGTGACCGCTGACAACCGTTAAACGACCCTCGGTGATATTCTCGAAGATGCCCATGTCTGAAAAATATAGAAGAACAAATGGCCAAAAGCTGAGTATGAAGATCGATATGTGCTTTGTGAGAAAAAAAAGGCCAGCTCTGTTTCGATATCCCAAAATATTCTTTCTTTGGACCAAACTTTGTGACACATAAAAAGTAGAAATGAAACCCGAACCAAACAACATATTTCTTGAAATATTAAAAACCAAGGTTTGACCCAGAATCTGAGTTCGAAGATAAAACAGATCGACAAAAAGCGGAACTGAAACCGGAAACAAACCATATTTAGATTTCAATATGATAAAACAAGGTTTGAGCCCAAACCTGAGTTCGTGAATGTGGAGTATCAGGTATTCGAATTGAACGTGCCTGGTTCAAAACCTTAAAAACTTAGAATGCTTTATATTCCTTCTTTTTTTTTTTAAGTAGGCCCAATTAGAATTTAATAGCCGCCAGTGACCTGAGATCTTCTACGCCTACCCTCAACTTCGAAGCAGACAGCCCCTCCCACCCCCTCGCCAATATGCTCTTGTGTCACGCAAGCTAATTGAATCAAGCAGCGAACCGGCCTGGCCTACGGGCTGGCAATTTTGTTTAACCTCTTATCAAGGGGCACAGCACAGTAACACACGCCTCCCCTGCCCCTGGCGCCCCTCTCCTGGACTCTATTTGGCTGGGCTGCTAGTGCCACCCCCAAAAACCGTCTATATAGCAGCTATGAGCGAGCGGGCACTGAGCTCTAAAGGTTATTAGTTCAGTTTAAGCGCACTCTTACAATTAATTAAGTGCTCAAGACGCCGCTACAAGTCAAGTCAGCGCCGTCTTGGGCCACTCCTTTCGAGCACACGAGTTGTCGCCATCATCGCCATCATCATCATCATCATCATCATCATCATCATCATCAGCGACGGCATCGTGATTATCAAGCTCGTCAGCTTCTTGGTTGGTGTGCCCGAAAAGAAGGTCACCAGCTTGTCAAGAGCTCGATTTATTAGGTTCAAGCAGTTGGGTAATGTGTGCACACACACACACACACACACACTCACACATATATATGCACACACTCACATATGAACCACAGCTCAAGTGTCGCTCAGACTCTTTCTCGGTCTCCCACTGTGGGTGTGCGTGTTTCTCTGTGTGTGTGTTTGTCACACTTACTGCTCTCTAATTGAACGTTACTTGCTCTGTGACCCTATTGCCACAATGCTGGCCCCTGTTGTTGCTGCTGTTGTTGTAATTAAGTTCGCATTAAAGAAAAATTAGCAGCTATATATGTATGTACACAAGCCAAGTCGATATTGTTGTTGCCGCTGTGACAGGCTTTTGATTAGCAAACCTGCCCCCAATTGCCAGCTTGAAGTCCCTGTGCCACCCACCACATGCCGAGTTGAAAGTTGACACTTTTGCTGCACTTGACGACTCTTCAACCGGAGTCGGCTAAGGCCCTGAAGCTGCCCCTTGTCCATGATTGGATCCGATTACGGCGCAATCTAATTGCTCTTAAGTACTTTACCATTGCGAAAATGTATCTAAAATTAATTAACAGCTTCTAAATGATGTTGGCTTAATAAGCAATTAGGTTTCATTAGCTACAAATTGTTACAACAACAATTCTGCTGCGGTTGCTTTTATCAACAAATATTGTTTCACAAATTACTTTTAAAAAATTGTAGCATAAGTTCGGGAGCGCAAAGCTGAGTTTCTATTTTGTTTGTATTCAAATCATGTTTGTTTTCATCATCCGCCAGAAAGTGCGTTTCATAACTAAGGAACACTGGAACGCCGAAATCTTTAAGCTAGTAAGAAACACAGGAACGGAACGCTTAAATAAAACTGTGAAAGTAAACAATTTCAATATATTACATTTATACATGTTCTTAGCTTTCTTTAGTTTTTCCAGACTTATTCGTACGCTGGAGTTAAAAAAGAGGTGGAAATATTTAAGGAACACTGGAATTGAACATTTGCTTGAACAAAATCTTGAAAGTAAGCAATTTCGATCCCATACTTTTATACAAATTCCTATTAAGTTAAGATACCGTTTGTCCAGACTTAATTGTACGTTGGAATGAAACATAGGTAAAAATGTATATGCCAATCACCTATTAGCCACATTCACATGTCTGTTCTGTAAGTAAGCAACACTGGAATGAAACCTATGGAACTAATCGGTTGGTTATGTGGAAAATATTTACAGAATTTCTAAGTAGTGCATTGAAGTGGGCTACGGCACAAGTTCGTGTACAAGTTTGAAGTCTTCTTGGGATTTTGAGTGCAGCTCAAAAGTGTGGAAAATGTGTGCTGGAAATTTTATTAAAGTATTAAAAAGTTCGTCTTCAGCTTAGATGCCTCTCAAGGTTCACAGTTTTTCTTTTGGCTTTTAAGGTAAATACGTTAAAAGTTTATCATTTAGACAGAGCTATAATTTGCCCCGCATATAAGTAGGAATGCCCTTAATCAACGTGTGTGTTTTTGGTTATTTTTTTTTGTCTGTCATTTGACGCCTACTCGTAATTATATATAAAAATGTCAAATTTTTTAATAAGCATGCACGCTAGCATAATATTTTGCCACAACATATAATTAATAGTTAGGTGTTTTCCTTTTGTCTAAGGATGCCATTTAAATACAGCTGGTATGACATAACTATGAGCTTAGCTAATTGTTGCCCGTAGCTATTTATAAATATTCAATCGATTCAGCTGTGGTCATGTGTAGTTGCATGATTGTGGACAAAGCGATAGGAGGGCTCTGCTTAATGCCAGCTTATCTAACTGATTTACCTAACGCTGCACAGATCCGGTTTTCGCTTTTTTGTTCACAGAGAAAATAGCTTAACAATTATATGAATATATTTATTCGAGCTATAAATTGTTGTACAAAGACCTTTTGATGACAGTACCCATTGAAATTGAATGGAAAAGGATAGCAGAGCTTTGCACAGCAACAGGCATATAACGCATATATGTATGTACATACATAGGTACGATAAAACATACGTGAACAAGTGGAAGCCAATAGAGAACATTGGAATAAAACTATCACTGGGATCAAACGCCTTAAAGTATAATATAAAATACTGCGTCTTGGACGAGATTTCAGCTAACTTTTACTTTCATTAAGACCTAAGTTATAGCTGGAATACAACATACGTAAATATCTTTAAACCAATAAGAAACACTGGAATAAATCCTTATATCTCAGAGACTATAATAGACTTAAGTATAGGACGAAGGTCTGTCTTATTGCTGCGCAGGTAAAGTTGTTTTCAAATCATCTACAGCTCTGTCCGTTTCTACACAATTGATATATATCTATTTTCAGTTTAGGGTCCCTGACCATATCTCGAAAATTATGTTTCATTGTTATTTAGATTCAAACATATTTCACACCCTAAAAATTAAAGAAAAAAGTTATTTTACGATTGTATGTAGCTCAGAAAGTAGTCATAACGATCGGACTATAAACATCGATCATAGTGTGAGAACAGAGTTAGCACGAAACACAGTTTGCGTGCGAGTGTGAGCGTGTGCAAAGAAGGAAGAAGTTCGTATTCAAGTTGAGTATCTTCCAGTTAGTCAGCCAATTTAATTGTTCTATTATTAATGCTTTAATGAGCGCGTTGAGCCTTTAGACGCGGGCAAGATGATTTTCAATTAACGGCATTTGAAGCCTTTGAGCCCATACATTGGCGGCATCAAAAGCGACAAAGCCATTGGCCAAGCGGCTTACAATGCGCAGTTTGTGTGTGTGTGGGAGTGCCTGATATGGGAATTAGGTCCGAAATATGCCAATGTATAATACAGAGATAGTTAGTTACAATAATTTTCACACACAGTGACCAGCCGGCTAATTAAAATGGCTTAGCGCTTAGGCTTAGGCTTAGGCTTAGGCTTAGCGAAGATGGAACTTTGTTTTGGGAAACAAAGACATACGATAACTGGCCAAATAATATACCCCGACAGAAGCAGCTAATGTAAATATAAATAGCAACTCACACCCACAACCCGCACTCCCAGGTCTGGTTGTGCGTGTGTGTATGTGTGGGTCTGTGTGTACTTACAGGCAACAACAACGTCGCTCTTTTCACTGAAAATCGAACCAGCCTCGTTCCTGGCAATGCACTGATAGCTGCCGGCATCCTCGCGCTTGGTGATGTGAATGCGATAAAATTGACTGGATGAATAATCGGCAACGGGTATTCCATCCTTGAGCCAGCGATATGTGGGCTGTGGCGAACCTGTGAACAAAGTTCAAGCAAAGCGCATAAGTAAATGTATGTAAGTGCTTGTACATGTGTGTGTGTGTGTGTGTATGTGTGATTGTATGTGTATGTGAGGAGAAGTGCTGCTGCAGGAGCTGCTGCTAGGAGCAGCTGCAGGCGCCGTAGTCAAAGCTACAGTTGGGGGCAACATAGATAGTTGCCACAGCATGTGGCAAGCGGGCGGGGCCATGTGGTAACAGCAGCAATTCGCGTTCGTATTGTTGCATAATGAACATGTTTTTCAAACCCATATCTCTCCGACTTCTGGTTCTTCTTCTTTTTTTTCTTTTTTTTTGCGATTAAATCTTATGCTGGCCACGCCCGGCGCAAAAGAGGATATTACTTATAGTTTTCGGTCAGTGTGTGCGTGCTTCTGTGTGTGTGTCAACTCGTTGACTATTTGTTTGAGCTTCCGTTGCCTATCGAGAGACCCGCAGCAGCAGCAGCAGGAGCAGCATTTTGCAAGGCTGCAAGCAACGGCCACTGGCTGGAACATGTCCGTACGGACCACACTCTGCAGCAACTCGATTTGGCACACAATTTAGCCAAATGCGATCGGTGCCGGCAGCTAAATAAACGACTTTTACTGTATTGTTGCAGCGACATTTTTGATACCGATTTGCCGACGAGCATTTAATTTAAAGTTGATTTATATGCGGCAAAGTGTTGCAAAGTTCCTGTTGCTCGCTACGGAATGAAATTCCAATTGCAATTTCTAAACAAAAATTGCATGCGGCCGTTGGCTGTGTGTTGGCTTCATCGGTTGGTCCAACAGTTGCCAGTTGCCAGTTGCCCGCTGCCCGTTTGATGATGCCAGCTAAATTAAGCTTTAAATAAAATATTCGCTTCAACTTGAACTATAATATGCTCATTCCACAGCCAACCCGACTGATATCTAAACGCAAAATGTCGGCTGCCCGACGGCATGCAACAGGATGAGTCCAGTTACTCTGCCAGCTGCAACTACAAGTGCTGCTGCTGCTCTTTTAAACAGCCAAAAGTCGTTAGGCAGTGGAACAGGCTCTGCATTTAGTTCCGATTCGAAATCAGACGTACAGGCCGCAGGCCACACATTTTAGAGAGCCAAGCGCGAAGCAAACACAAGTTTAGCAAGTAATCCCATAGATTATGTAAAACACGCCGATCAACGACTTGCTAATGCCCTTTAAACAGGCGTGCTGTGTGCATTAAAAATAAATTAAAAACTTTTTAATTGAGCTGTTTGTGCAACACAGAATCTATTTCAAGCAACTTTTCAACTATATCAAACATGTTTGGTGTTTAATTAAAGCACATTTCAAACAGATTTCGGATATACATATAAACACTTGCATATATATACTTTATATACTTTATGCATTATACCTTAAGCTAGTACGCGCTTAATTGTTGTTGTAGCTGTTTTAATTATGCTTCTGGCTTATTTCTTTCCTTTAATATATCATTATCTTTACAATATAATTTTCTTAAAAACTGATAGTTTATTGAATCGCTTCTTAAGTCCTTTTAAGAAGTTTGCCACGGCAACTTTTACCTTCGGCTGGCCACTAACAAAAACATGTTGTCTTGGGCATGTTTCGAGTGGCAATTTAATTTGGTAGACTCTTGATTTATGTATAATATTGAGTTAAAATAATTAGTAGGCCTCCAAACACCCTCCCTTACATGTTTTAGCCCAAAGTTGCTGCCTGATTTGAGGCAAAACAAATAAAAATATAAATAATAATAATAATAATAGTATATTGTGCATTAAACGATTCTGCATCTATATAATACACAATTATTATCATTTCACAATTATGTTCCAATATTATTTTCAATTTCGACTCCTAAATGGTAAGATTTACAATCTCATAGGCTTTTCCTACTAGAGCATAAATAAGGACTATCATAAAAAACACTTTTAGCCACATTAAAAGAAAGCAATTTTCCACATCAGATATACATAAGCATACAAGTCTAAATTCGACAAATATCTATGATTTCAAATAACGGTGGGTTGCAACACACGTTCTTGCTAAGAGCGTTGCCAGATGGGTAAAAGCATAAAAATAAATCGAGTAAAAACGAAGTGTGCCAATACTTTTATTTAAATAATTTAATAAAATTACTGATATTTTTTTGTTACAAAACTTTAACTGATTTTTGTTGAAAACTAACTGGTTTATACAGGATAAATAATTTGGATGGATATTTGTTACCACAAACGGTCGCAAAATGCGTACAAAGTAGATGCTTGCTGTGCCAATACTTTTGTGTGTGTCTGTATATACATACATATGGTCTCCTACAGGAACTAGCTAGTCTAATCGAATTTTATTTATTGATAATCTTAATATATTTGAATTCAATTGAATTTTCTTAATTACTTCTTGTGATCATAATAAGAAATCACAATCTAGACATAAAAATAGAAATCTAGATATAATATATATTATATAAATATTTATTGCTGGTTTTAACGACATTTCCCTTTTTAAATCTTTTTTTAGCTTTATTCAGTTTATTAAAAACAGTTTCCATTTAATCTATATTTTTCCGATAGATTTCGACTGCACATTGGCATTATATTTATTATTTACCTATTATTATATTTATTAAATGTTTCTTGTGGTCATCGTAAAAATTCTTAAAAACTTTAGAAATCTGGATACAATATATAGATATATATTATTAAAAGTTATATGTGGATACTTCCTCATTTTATAGAAGGATGTAGGCGCGCTTGCTTCAAACGAAGGGAATGAATTGTTCAGTTAGGCGCTAACTTTGCCATCTGAATTTACTTGAATGCTATTGCACATATTTGTAATATGTTATTTTATAAATTTTCCTCAGCACGTCTTTAGTCTAGATTGTGATTTTTTAAAATGTTATTGCCCAACTTTGGATAAAAGACTGTTTTATCGGCACGGACAGGTCAATTGCGAATAAGGAATATATCGGCACGTGAAATGCGACTTAAGTCGGCAATTTACCTATTTAATACATCGAGCTTTTTAGCTATCTATCGCTAAGATCTAAAATTTTCTCAGTTCAGTATTTACAAACATGTCAACCTTTGTTGTCTCCAAATTATTTAAACAGCTATTAATATTGCACAAAAATCAATATATACTCAGCCAAGAATATATTACAGGGTATATACTTTAAAAGCAGTAGCAGCAGAAAGAGAGAGAGATAGAAAGGGAGCAATAGAGATATCTAGAGAAAACGTGGCCAATGGCAATGCAATTGCATTTAGTTGGCAGCAGACTAAATCGAATTGGGCAGAGACAGCCAAAGCTGAAATGCTAGACGTAAAAGAGCCAAAAACAGTGTAGTCCGTAAGAGTCGAGCCAGTGCCAAAAAAAAGAAGAGAAATAATAATAAAGGAAAAGTAAAACGCAGAAGGGAGAGAACGCAAAAAGGGAAAAAGTTCCTTCAAGTGTTGGCCGGCATAAAAAGTTGGCCGGCAAGCGCTGGCCAAAGTCTATTTGGGCATTTGGGCAATGACGCTGCTATAAAATTACAATTTGGGGAATTCTAAGGCAAATATACACACAGCACAATTGCAGCACACATACTGACACCCGGCACACACACGTACGCACACAGGCGCACTTAGTGCTCGCTTTGGTCAACAGCAGGAGCAGCAGAAGGCTCAATGAAAAAGAAGCAGCAGCCGGACTCAGACGCAAAAGTAAATGCACTGAGCAAAACAAAAAGAAAAAAAAAGAAATAGCATTCTCCAGCGATATGTGTTAGCGTTAAATCGAAGTGAAAGCCTCAATAAGCTGAGCAGCCAACAACACACACACTCACACACTCAAACACACACAAACATACTCAAAAGCATACGCACACCCAGTGAGTGGCCTCGGAGCCCAGTTCGTATCCCTGCCTTCAAAGCCTTGTCGAAGCAGGGACCATTCAAACATACAAGAGTGTGTCAGTGTGTGTGTGTGTGGCACAAATGAGTTTTTAATAACTAAACTGACAAATCCTTTAAGCCTAAGCCATTCCCAAGTCAAAGTCCGGAGTGTGAGCAAAATCAACGATTGAAACGTATTGTAACTCGTTTCATTTTCAGGCACCTTAGGGAAGTGGCAAATTGAACCACATACATTAATGCGTGCGATTATCAGGATAATTCATGCAATTTGAGCACGACCATATCGTTATTTCATTCCATTAAAATCTAGTTCCAAATTTTTCGAACGGGCAGAAAAAGGAGAAGCTTAGAGCTCATTCTTTGGATAAAATATATTTGAAGTCGTGGACATATCCATTTCCGCTTGGCTCTATGCATTGCAAGGAACAAGTTTGTTTTTCGATAACTCTCCTCAAAATCGATAAGAGTTCCAAAATCGATAGCGTCACTTGCCTGTTATCGATTTATTTTGTTTTTTCATAAAATTTCAGTTAAAATGTTGAGAACAGACAGAAGATGGAGAAGCTCAGGTTTTATTGTATGGATAAAATCCGTATTGGTTTAACACTATGCATTGAAGGGACCAAGTTTGTTTTTCGATAACTCTCTACAAAATCGATAGCATTTCCAAAATTGATATTTATCGATATCGTCATATGCTTTTATCGATTAATATCGTTTTTTGAGCCGAAGAGTCGACAGACCTCGCATATGGGCTTTGCTTAACACTCACATTCATTAGTGTCGAATTCACATCGAAATCGAAGAAAATAAACGAACTTGTAAGACTTGTAAGCTAACTCTTCAGCGCATGCACGAGAGGTATTTCAGTTTGGGAAGCAGGTATCTTCTAGTCGGCTACAATGAAAGAACCTGCGCTTTTTGTTCTTTAGGCATCTAGGTACATAAATCCAATAATTATTAGGAGGTATATTAGGCGCCAATTCACTTGCTTAAAAAGTTGGCCCGTGATCATTTAAGTATTAAAGCTCGCTGCGATACATTTCAACTCTTTTGCAATAATTCGTTGAAGCGTATTGTGCAAATTTTGTGCGCTGTTTCG